AACTGGAGATGTCAGGGATTGATCCTGGGGCTCTCTGCATACCAGGCAGATGCTCCACCACTGAGGCTCGGATCTTTACCACCGTAAAGACCAATGGTCCCTTTTTTCACGTATGAAAACTTATACCCTGGAAGTCCAATTAGCCTTTAAGATGCCACTGGACTCAAATCTTGCTCTTCCGTCGTGGACCCATGTGGCTCCCCACCCGAAACTACCCTCTGGCTTGTCACGTGGGTGTCCTCCTTGCGCATTCCCGCCTCACTGGCACCTGTAGTGGGGTTGCCTACGTGTAGCCCCAGCTTAAGCAGTCACCCACGTGCACAGCGATGGTTTGCTTTCCATGCAGGGGTCATTTCCTGCAGGAGTGCACAGGAGCAGAGCTCTGGCAGTAAGGAGCCCAGGGGGCGGGCACATGCAACAAGCCCCACCCCCTGCTCCCAGGAGCCCTCAGTCGGGCCATGAGGAGCAAGAAGCAGCCAGGTAAGTTGCAGAGAGCCCCCCCCCGCCCGCCTTCAGGTACAAGCTCTCCCTCCTCTGCGAGGATAGATCTGCATTTCCCCCCCCTCCAATAGTTAGCAATCCAAAACAGTCCAGTGGAGCCTGAGCAGTGGGTGTTGCCTTCTGACACACTTTCAGTGATGTCAGGGGGTGTGGCATATGCAAATAAGTTATGCTAATGAGCTCCTGCACCTCTTTTTCTACGAAATGACCCCTGTTTCCATGTGATGTGTGATGTTTCTGCACACCTCTTGTGTGTGCTTGAGGTGATGACCCGCAAGGCAGGCCAGCCACAGAGGCAAAATTCATAAGCCGTTGCTTGGAGGGGCAGCCGAGGGCATGGTGGTGCAGGCACATATATAAGAACACAAGAGAAGCCGTATTGGACCAGGCCAACGGTCCATCCAGTCCAACATTCTGTGTCACACTGTGGCCAAAGCCCAGGTGCTATCAGGAGGTCCACCAGTGGGGCCAGAACTCAAAAGCCCTCCCACTGTTGCCCCCCATGCACCAAGAATACAGAGCCCCAGACAGTGTGTTCCATCTATACCTTGTGGGTAATAGCTACTGATGGACCTCGGCTCCATATGTTTATCCAATCCCCTCTTGAAAGTGTATTTCTAGCCGCCGCCACTTCCTGTGGCATTGAATTCCGCATGTTCATTACTCTTCGGGTGAAGAAGTATTTGAAGGGCTGTCCCTTAGAGGAGGGCAGAGACCTGTTCCTGTAGGCAGCAGAGGAGAGGACTAACAATCATGGGTTTAAATTAAGGGTGGGAAGGTACCGGCTGGATATCAGGGAAAAACTTTGCTACAGTAAGAGTTGTGCCACAGTGGAATCAGCTGCCAAGGGAGGTGGTGAGCTCCCCCTCTCTGGCAGTCTTGAAGCAGCGGCTGGACACACACCGGTCAGGGATGCTCTAGGCTGATCCTGCATTGAGCAGGGGGTTGGACTAGATAGCCTCTATGGCCCCTTCCAACTCTGTGTGATTCTATGATTCTAAGTACTTCCTTTTATCTGTTCTAAGTCTACTGTTCGTACGCCTTTCACCGAATCAGACCCTTGGTCCCTCAAGATTAATACTGACTACTCCAAACTGGCAGTGACTCTCCAGGGTCTCAGGCAGAGGTCTCTCGCATCACCTACCACCTGGTCCTTTTAACTGGAGATGCCGGGGATTGAACCCGGGGCCTTCTGCATGCCAAGCGGAGGCTCTGCCACTGAGCCACAGCCCCTCATGGCCCCAGTGTGCATTATAAAGGGGTTAAAATGGTAAAATGAACCATGCTAGTTTTCAGAGAGCAGGTATGGTACAGTGAGTCAGAGTGTTGGAAGAGGATCCTTGGAGACCTAGATTTAAATCCACTGCCTTGCGTGAGGCTTGCTCGGGGGCTTTGGGCAAGCTGTTTTCTCTCTTTCCTCCTCTCCTACATACGAGGATAAAATTAAGAAGGGTGGACGGCGTATACTGCTCTGCCCTCTTTAGAGCCAGTTTGGTGCAGTGGTTAAGTGTGGAGACTCTAATCTGGGAGAACCGGGTTTGATTCCCCACTCCTCCACTTGCACCTGGCTGGACGACCAGCTCTGTCAGAGCTGTTCTCTCCAGGACAGCTCTGGAAAGAGCTCTCTCAGCCCCACTTACCTCACAGGGTGTCTGTTGTGGGGAGGGGAAGGGAAAGGAGTTTGTAAACAGCTCTGAGACTCCTTTGGGTAGTGAAGGGCGGGGTATAAATCTAGTCTCCTCCTCCTCTTCTTCCGGCATACGATGGCAGGGAACAAAACCATCAATTTTTTTTGTCTTGTTTCATGCAGTTTCTTCACCTCTCTCAGAAACCTAAAACACTTCGACTGTGAGGAGAAGCAGACGCTGATCGTAAGTGCAGAGGGAAGACTCATATTTGGAAAGTGTTGAGGGTGCTGGTGTTATCCCCTAGAGGGTGGTGGGGAGGGGTAGATGGAAAGAAGTCCTGCTTAGCCCCAGAGAGGATGGCCGTTTTCTACCTGTCTGTTTTTCCTCCTAGGATAAAGCCAGAGAGAGCTCTCAGGATATCAACTGGTGTATCAACCTGATCGCAGACTACAGAATTCGATTATGTAAGATGATCTCGCTTGATTTGGTGAATCCATCCATGCCTGCCTGGTTTGCCCCACCTTTGCTCCCAACAGTAAAAGACTGGCCCGGGACGGTGGACGGGGCTAGCTACAGTGGGTAGCATACACTGCAAATTTAAGCACAAGCGCACTGCCGTACACTGACACTGCGCCTCTGACCACGGAACGTGAGTTTTTGTGGGCTACAGACAGCCCCACCTACCTCCCAGGGTGTCTGCTTTGAGGAAGGGGAGGGAAAGGAGTTTGTAAGCAACTCTGAGACTCCCTTGGGTAGTGAAGGGCGGGGTAGAAATCCGATCTCCTCCTCCTCCTCCCTCCTCCTGTTCTTGTGCCACTATGACCAAAAGACAGAACTGGGGAACTGGGCTTTGAGACATCAGGCTGCATTTGCCTTCAGTCCAAGCCTGGCTCCCGTTTTTATTTATTGACTATTTCCATTTATACCCCGCCCTTCCTGCGAAACGGGCTCAGGGTGGCTCACAACAACAAATGCAATACCAATCTCAAATCATGCAATAAAACCAATTTGCAATGTTTAGAGTGGGCAGCGCGGTACGTTTAATTCCAGTTTCTACAGCCGGGGGGAATAAGTGGGCCGACGCCGAGCTGTGCCGGTGTCACGTAGCAGCAGTAGGGAGGCCAGCGGGTAGATGCCAAAGGCTGAGAGGGCAGCCAGCCCCAGTGATGCCGTGTGGCAAAATCTCCCCGCCATGAAGCTGTAGCTAACGCGACGCTCTCTCTCTTTCGCCTCCAGGTTGCCGTTCTTTCACAGGCACCCTCTTGGAGTACTGTGCTGACGATATGAGTGAGTGTGCTTCGGAACGGGAGAACCAATTTGCAGTGTTTAGAGCGGGCAGTGCAGTACGTTTAATTCCAGTTTCTACAGCCGGGGGAATAAGTGGGCCGATGCCGAGCTGTGACGGTGTCACGTAGCAGCAGTAGGGAGGCCAGCGGGTAGATGCCAAAGGCTGAGAGGGCAGCCAGCCCCAGTGACGCTAACGCGACACTCTCTCTCTTTCCCCTCCAGGTTGCCGTTCCTTCACGGGCACCCTCTTGGAGTACTGTGCCGACGATATGAGTGAGTGTGCTTCGGAACGGGAGCCCCTGCGCCGGTTCTCCTCTGGGATCGCCTTTTCTGCCTCACTGCCCGGGAGCCGAACAAAACCTGGCCCCTCTCCCCACCACCGTTCCCTCTAAGCTGAGTTCGTGTGAGCTGGCTCGCAGTTTTTGAGCCTCCAGCTCATGCATTTTTTGTCTTAGCCGAGGAAGGAGGGCTCCAGAGCAGACTGATTGATGCAGCAGCCAAACCGCTCGCTCACCACTTGAAGGCCAGCAGCTCACAAAGTAGAATTTTTGCTCACAGGACTCCACAGCTTAGAGGGAGCATTGCTCCCCACCCCAATGGGAAAGTTGTGGCCCAAAAATCCCAAAGGGGAGGCCAGGAAGTTTCCTCTGCAGGAGAAACAGGTCGCAATATGAGCCAACCATGGCTGGGAGGGCAGGGTATAAGTGTGAAAAATAAGTTTGGCGTAGTGGTTAGGAGCGCGGATTCTAATCTGGGAGAACCAGGTTTGATTCCCCACTCCTCCATTTGCAGCTTCTGGCGTGACCTTGGGTCAGTCACAAGTTCTCTCAGAGCTGTCCTTGAAAAAGAGCAGTTTCTGTCAGAGCTCTCTCAGCCCCACCCACCTCACAGGGTGTCTGTTGTGGGCAGGGGTCATTTCCTGCAGGAGCGCACAGGAGTGGAGCTCCGGCAGTAAAGAGCCCAGGGGGTGGGCACATGCAACAAGCCCCACTCCCTGCTTCCAGCAGCCCTCAGTAAGACCAAGAAGCAGCCTTAAGGTGCAGAGACACCCACCCCCACCCCCCGCTCTCTGTTCCAAAACAGTCCAGTGGCACCTTTAAGACCAAGTTTTATTCAGGTACAAGCTCTCCCTCCTCTGCGAGCACAGATCTGCACGCCCCACCCCCCCCCCCCCAATAGCTAGCAATCCAAAACAGTCCAGTGGAGCCTGAGCGATGGGTGTTGCCTTCTGACACACTTCTGGTGGTGTCAGGGGGTGTGGCATATGCAAATGAGTTATGCTAATGAGTTATGTTAATGAGCTCCTGCACCTCTTTTTCTACAAAATGACCCCTGGTTGTGGGGAAGGGAAGGAAAAGGAGATTGTAAGCCGCTCTGAGACTCTGAGTAAGGGTGGGGTATAAATCCAATCTCTTCTCCACTTCTTCTGAATGTTGCAAATCACACATGAAGCTGCCTTCTATTGAATCAGACCGTCGGTCCATCCAGTTCAGTATTGCCTACAGACCAGCAGCAGCTCTCCAGGGTGTGAGGCAGAGGTCTTCCACAGTACCTCCTACTTGACCCCTTTATCTGGAGATGCCGGGAGTTGCACCTGGGACCTTCTGCATGCCAAGCAGAGGCTCTGCCTCTAAGCCATGGCCCCTCCCAATTCCAGGTTTTTTCCCCCAAATATCCCCCAAGCAATGTTCCCTCTAAGCTGAGTTAGTGTGAGCTAGCTCACAGCTTTTTAGCCTCCGGCTCACGCATTTCTGTCTTCGCTCTGGAAGGATGGGGCTCCAGAGCAAACTAATCTATCCTGCAGCCAAACTGCTTGCTCACCACTTTAATGCCAGTCGCTCACAAAGTAGAATTGTTGCTCACAAGACTCCACAGCTCAGAGGGAACCTTGCCGGCCCCAAGAGAGATCTCTCTCTTCTCTGTCGCTGGCAGCCAAGCACTCGCAGTCCAGTTTGGGTGGGGCTCTTTTTGTAGCAGGTACTCCTTTGCATATTAGGCCACACACCCCTAATGTAGCCAATCCTCCAAGAGCTTACAGAGCTCTCCTTACAGGAGCTACTGTAAGCTCTTGGAGGATTGGCTACATTAGGGGTGTGTCACTGAATATGCAAATGAGTACCTGCTTCAAAAAGAGCCCAGGCTGGCCATTGACCTTCCCCTGTGCCTCTTTGCATCTTCAAACGGCCGTTAAACTCCTCTGGGATTCTCAGCCTTTTCACAGGAACCTCGGCCCTCCTCAAACTTTGGCCCTGAGCAGCCAAAGGTTTGTGTGAGACTGTGCCAGAAAGGTTCGTGGTGGGCAGCTTCAGAGGGACTGGGAACAGAACGAGCTCTTTTCCCTGCCTTGTCCTACTCTATTTGGAGGTGTGGGCAACAGACCAGCCAGCACCTGCTAACGAGGGGGAGGGGCCCACAAGAGCGGGGGGGGGTGGAGGCACTTAACAGAGGCGAGAGAACAGCCGGGGGCCAGACGTGATAGAGGTTTTATAACATCATGCATGGGATGGAGAGAGTTGACAAAGAAAAAAAATTCTCCCTTTCCAAAAATACTAGCACTCGAGGGCATCCAATGAAGCTGATGGGCAGTAGGTTCAGGATAAACAAAAGGAAATACTACTTTACACAGAGAGGGATGAAAATGTGGAATTCGCAGCCAGAGGATGCAGTGATGGCCACAGGAATAGACAGTTTTCAAAGGGAATTAGATTCATGGAGGATAAGTCTATCAGTGGCTACTGGCCATGGTGGCTGAAGGGAATCTTCACATTCAGAGGCACTAAACCTCTGAATCCCAGAGCCAGGAGGCAACATCAGGGAAAGGCCTTGGCCTCTTTGCCCTGTTGCTGGACCTCTGTAGGAATTGGGCGGCCACTGTGTGAGACGGGATGCTGGACTAGATAGACCCCTGGTCTGATCCAGCATGGCTCTTCTGATGTTCTTCTCAGGAGAAGGCCTCGGCCTCTCTGCCCTGTTCCTGGACCTCTGTAGGAACTGGTTGGCCACTGTGTGAGAGGGGATGCTGGACTAGATGGACCCCTGGTCTGATCCAGCAGGGCTCTTCTGATGTTCTTCTCAGGAGAAGGCCTCGGCCTCTCTGCCCTGTTGCTGGACCTCCGTAGGAACTGGTCGGCTACTGTGTGAGACGGGATACTGGACTAGATGGACCCCTGGTCTGATCCAGCAGGGCTCTTCTGATGTTCTTCTCAGGAGAAGGCCTCGGCCTCTCTGCCCTGTTGCTGGACCACCGTAGGAATTGGTCAGCCACTGTGTGAGACAGGATGCTGGACTAGATGGGACTATTGGTCTGATCCAGCAGGGCTCTTCTCATGTTCTTATGGGAGGGTATAAAAACCAAAATAAAATGCAGCTTACTAGGTGGCTTCCCATAATGTTTGAAAACACGACATTTATGCCTGGCTTTCTTCCCCACCCCCGCATTTCTTTTTTCTTTCTTTCAAGGCTGCCCGGTTAGAAAAGAGAGCCGCCACAACTTGTCCCAGATGACCTTCCCACAAATAGAGGAGGTGGGCTCTGAAGACCCTCCGCCCGAGGCAACTCCCCCCAAGCCCCCCAGGAAGGTTCTCCCTGACCGGACGAGAGCAGCCAGGGACAGAGCCAACGAGAAGATCGTGGAGTTCATCGTGAAGGCCAAGGGGGCAGATGAGCATCTCCGCGCCATCTTGAAGAGTGAAAAAGAGTCCCAGTGGTGGAAGAAGTTCCTCAAGGTGTCGCCGCACATGACCCCCATTGAGACCTACCTGGAGGACGATGACCAGCAGGAACGCGTGGTCGAGTATCTGAAGAAGGTTTACCGGGAAGTCGTTGCGAAACCTCTGCCATTCGTAACTGGCGACAAGTTCATCTTGGACGTCCTCTTTCCGGAGGTATGCGAATCACTTCGCTGCCCACCCATTCTTGGAGACGTTGGGTCTCCTCCCCAAACCCGTGTTCTCATTGCCTGTTTAGCAGCTGTTGCATCTGAGGGGAACCTCCATATTTAGAGGCAGTAAAAACTCTGAAACACAGTGCTAGGAAGCAACATCAGGGAGGAGACCCTTGGCTTCCAGGCCCAGCACCTGGTTGGCCCTTGTGTGAAACAGGATGCTGGACTTGATGGAACACTGCTCTGGTCCAGCAGGGCTCTTCGTATGTTCCTAACATCAGGGGAAAGCCTCAACCTCCGCGCCCTGTTCCTGGACTTCCGGAGGAACTTGTTGACCACTGTGTGAGACGGGATGCTGGACTAGACAGACCACTGGTCTGATCCAGCAGGGCTCTTCTGATGTTCTTATGAAGGCCTTGGCCTCTCTGCCCTGTTGTTGGCCCTCCAGAGGAACTGGTTGGCCAATATGTGAGACAGGATGCTGGACTAGACGGACCACTGGTCTGATCCAGCAGGGCTCTTCTGGTGTTCTTATGAAGGCCTTGGCCTCTCTGCCCTGTTGCTGGCCCTCCAGAGCAACTGGTTGGCCAATATGTGAGACAGGATGCTGAACTAGACGGACCACTGGTCTGATCTAGCAGGGCTCTTCTGATGTTCTTATGAAGGCCTCTGTGCCCTGTCATTGGCCCTCCAGAGGAACTGGTTGGCTTCCGTGTGAGGCAGGATGCTGGACTAGATGGACCCTTGATCTAATCCAGCAGGGCTGTTCAAGTTTTTATATTCTGTATCCTCTGTTTGGGCAATATGTGTGGTTCACCCACCTTTCCTGGGCTGGGCCTGGATGACTCGCCCTGGGCCACGCGGTGAGCTTCACGTTTCCGCAAGAGTTCCAACCCAGGTCACCTGGTCTAACCTGTCATCCACCACCCGCATGAGCTTTCTTCATAATGGTCATTTTAGTTTTATTTGCATTTATATACTACCTGTCCGAAGTCACGCTTGACTGATCAGTGAAATACCAAAGTTGGAGGATGAGCCATCGGGAGAGGAGTTGTCCCGTAATCAAAAGCCCGTTGATATCTTTAAAGAAGTCCACCGTCTTCCAAAGATGGCCAGCCATGGAGCTGGGGGAAAGGGTATCCCAAAAGCCGGGGTGCCACAACTAAGGATGTCCCAGCCTTCTTGGCCCTCCGCCTTGGTTTCTGAAGGTGGAAAAGAGTGACGAAGCCAGACCTGCAAGAGGGAATGTCCCGGGGGCAGGCAGTCCTTCAGATACCCGAGTCCCAGGCCACGAAGGGCTTTAAAGCTTAGGACCAGCATCTTAAATCGGACCTGGAGACCAACAGCCAGCTGGTGAAGAGCTTTTAAAAACGGGTGAAATGCGTTGCTAACAATCCACACCCACGCTCTTGTCTGCCTGGCTGAAGTTTCTGAACCGTCTTCGGAGGGAGCGTATCAGTCGTTGAACCCGCAGGCAAGGAGAGGGGGGCCTCCGTGGCGCATCTTAGATCCCGAAACTGCTTTTACTTCCTTTGCCCTTCCAGCAGCGCCGTAATGTGTTCTTTTCCCAGGCTTGTTTCCCCACCACCACCCCTTTTCACAGTGAGTCTTCAGCCCCCTGTGGCTTGACCCGTCTACTGACGTGAGCTGTGTGATCGCGAGCCTGCAGGGCGGCTTGTTCTTTCCTTCCCACAGTTTGCATTGCAGCCGTAGTGGTCGACAGTGGCTGGAATTTTAATACTGTGATTTGGGGGGGGCGTGTTGGTGTGTCACAGCCAGGGGCCCTCTCCCGCTGGAGCAGCGCTCCGGCAGTAAGGAGCCCAGGGACACACACACGCCCCCCGCTGCTTAGGGGGAATTAAATGCTTTTCTTTCCCTCCCCCAGATGGGGAAGGGAAAGAAAGGCATTTAAAACATGCCTGGGTTCCCTGCCCGATCTTCTCCAGCCAGCCCACCACGGCAGATTGGGTGGGGAGGGGAGGTGGGCAGACATGCCCCCTTTTCCCCCTGAGCCTCCCCGCTTTTACGGAGAAACTCGGGGAAGGGGGTGGTGGTTAAATGCCTTTCTTCCCCTTCCCCAGATGGAAAGGCATTTTAAACATACCTCAGCAATCCAGTTCTCCAGTTTTTGCAGAAGATATTAAACATACCTGGGTTCCCTGCCCGATCTTGAGAAGATCAGGCAGGGAACCCAGGCATGCTTGCACGCCTGCCCTTTGTCAGGGGGTGTGGCATATGCAAATGAGCCCCCACACCTCTTTGACACCCCTGCTCACAGCCAATGCTCCCTCTAAGCTGTGGTGTCTTGTTAGCAAAAAAACCTACTCTGTGAGCTACTGGCATCAAAGTTGTGGGGGCGATTTGGCTGCTGCATAAATTAGTTTGCTCTGGAGCCCTCCTTCCTGAGCGAAGGCAAAAATGTGTGAGTTGGAGGCGAAACAACTGTGAGCTAGCTCACACCAACTCGGCTTAGAGGAAACACTGCTCACAGCGTAACTGCTTGGTTTTAAGGCCCTCGAGGCTCGAGGGCCCAACCCCCATCACCCGTCCTCCCTCGCAGCCACCTGGGATTTGTTTCTTGGTTTAACACGACGGCCTTTTAAAACAGGGGTTCTCCTTTTTGTGTTCCACCTGCCAGGCAATCATATTTGCAATTTCGGCTGTGGATCAGATCGACTACAAGAAGGCGGAACAAAAATACATCAGGGGGCCAGTGCTCAGCCAAAGGTATTTGGGTTTCAAATTGAATTCCTCTGTGTGCGCACGAGTGAGTCGGAGCCTCACTTGCCACTGAGGCTTGGTCTCCTCTCCGGTTTTCATCCTGCACTTTCTACGAAGAGCGGATCCGGTGCCCTTCCTCTTCTCCGTTTGATCCTTGCAACGAGGCAGTGAGACAGATTAGACTGAGGTCCCAAGCAAGGCTCCCTCTAAGCTGCGGAGTCTCGTAAGCAAAAATTCCTACTTTGTGAGAGCTACAGGCATTAAAGTTGTGAGCAAGCGATTTGGCTGCTGCAGAAATCATCCTTCCCGAGCGAAGGCAAAAATGTGGGAGCCGGAGGCTAAAAAACTGTGAACTAGCTCACACTAGCTCAGCTTAGAGGGAACACTGGACCCAAGGTTACCGAGTGGGGAATATTTTTTTTTAAATTATTTTGACATTTTTACCCCGCCCTCCCCGCAAGCGGGCTCAGGGTGGCTTACAAGGGGCATAAGCCCATACATAAAGCCAGATAAAAACCATAAGATCATAGATAATAACAATAACAATGGGCTTCATGTAACAAGATGGTCTTTGAATAGTTTCGTGGTGGTATCAATCATTTCCTTAGGTCTCATGGTGGTATCAATCATTTCCTTAGGGGTGATATTGTCCTGTAGATAGTCCAGAGCTAACCCAGCAGTGTCAGGGCCATGCAAATTTATGGCAGATCTTCCAAGGGCGGCCCCTGATCCCATTGCTGTCCCCTCCATTGGTGGTGGTGGCGGCCCCTATATTAAAGCCTGGCGGAAGAGTTCCATCTTGCAGGCCCTGCGGAATGGCATAAGGTCCCGCAGGGCCCTGATCTCCTCCGGGAGCTCATTCCACCAGGTAGGGGCCGCCACCGAGAAGGATCTGGCTCTGGTCGCAGCAAGCTTTGCCTCCCGGGGGCCTGGAATCACCAGGTGGTGTTGTGTCCCCGACCGAAGTGCTCTTGGGGGTATAGGTGGGGAAAGGCGAACCCATGCTTCTTTGGTCTTTTCCTTTTCTGATGCTCTAACCATGATACCCCGTTGCCCACACTGTACCCCCAAATACTGATTCCGTTTCTCAACCCTGCCCCCCAGTCTTTACCACTGCTTGTGTCACTTTTATACCATTTCAGTTCTTGTGTCTTTCCCGGGCAGACATCTTGGCATTCATGCTTAGCTGAAGTGTTCCATTTCCCCCCCCCCCCCCAGAAATCCCCCCCACACCCTGCTGCCAGAGAGACTGAGCCAGAGGAAACCTAACTTGGTTTTGCTCTGCGAGGGATCTTGGCTGTGAGATTCCGAAGGGGGACATAGGTGCACGATCGCTCTCAGAGACCGGATCCCCTTGACGACTCTTTCCTGGCCTTTGTCTTCCTCTGCTGTTTATTTATTTACTAAAACATTTATACCCCACCTTTGCCTTGCAGTTCAAGGCGGAGAATTCCAGAAATGAAACACATACCAAAAAAAGACCGCCCCCCCGCCCCCTTTATCCTTCCTTTCTCAAGATTGCCTGAAGCTTAAGCCCCATTAAAAGCCCTTTCTTGGGGCAAAAAGGACCTTACAGGACCTCCAAAAATCCCTCTAAAGATTGTGCCTTCTTAAGGGAGCCTGTTCCACAAGGTGGGAGGAGCTGTAGAGAAGGAGCAAGCTCTGGTAGAGGCCTTGTGGGCCCACCTTAAGTGGTCAAACAGCTAGAAGGTGGCAGGCAAAAGAAGTCGGCGCATGGGGGGGCATGTGGAGAGGGGCAGTCCCTCAGCAGTACGGGGTTCTGGGGTCATCAACAGCCATCAAGGTCACAACCAGCACCTTGAACTGGACTCTGAATCCCAACGGGCAGCTAATGAAGCTGTTTTAAAACAGGGAAGGCACAGGCCTTTAAGCTTAAGGAAACACTGCTGTATAGAGAGAGAGATTAAAATGTGGGATTCGCTGCCAGAGGATGTCGTGACGGCTGCAGAAGCTTGAGAAGGGGATAGGAGAGATTCGTGGAGGATAACTTTCTCAATGTCTCCTAGCCCTGGTGGCGGAGGGGAACCTCCACATTCAGAGGCAGTCAACCTCTGGATCCCAGACCTAGGAGGCAACATCAGGGGAAGGCCTCGGCTTCTATGCCCTGTTGTTGGCCGTCCAGAGGTACTGGTTGGCCACTGTGTGAGGCAGGATGCTGGACTAGATGGACCCCTGGTCTGATCCAGCAGGGCTCTTTCGATGTTCTTATGAAGGCTTCAGCCTCTATGGCCTGTTGTTGGCTCTCCAGAGGAAGTGGTAGGTCCTTGTGTGAGGCAGGATGCTGGACTAGATGGACCCCTGGTCTGATCCAGCAGGGCTCTTATGATATTCTTATGAAGGCTTTGGCCTCTATGGCCTGTTGTTGGCCCTCCAGAGGAACTGGTTGGTCCCTGTGTGAGACAGGATGCTGGACTAGATGGACCACTGGTCTGATCCAGCAGGGCTCTTACGATGTTCTTATGAAGGCCTCGGACTCTATGCCCTGTTGTTGGCCCTCCAGAGGAACCAATTGGCCACTGTGTGAGATAGAATGCTGGACTAGATGGACCACTGGTCTGATCCAGCAGGGCTCATCTGATGTTCTTATGAAGGCCTCGGCCTCTATGCCCATTTGTTGGCCCTCCAGAGGAACCGGTTGGTCACTGTGTGAGACAGGATGCTGGACTAGATAGACCACTGGTCTGTTCCAGCAGGGCTCATCTGATGTTCTGCTGCACTCTGAAACCCCCCCATCGCCCTCCTCCCCCCCAGTTCCTTGCTCAAAGTAACCAAGTGAGGTGTCTTAAAATCCAAGCCTACTCTCTCCCCCCCCCCCAAGGTGCGTGTGCTCACTTTTCAAGAGCCCAGTCCAAGCTCTACACTTCAAGCAGTGCAAATTCTGCAGTGAGAAAAGACGGATAAGGTGTTGCTGGCTTCTTTGGTGGGACTTGTTTTGCTTGTGGAGGTGGGCAAGAGTTCGGAGAGGGCCCTAAAGCCGTGTTCCCTCGCCCCGTGGGATAGCTTATTCGTTTGCCCCCTTGGCTCTTGGGTTCCACCAGCCTTTGCCATCTGTGCACCGGGAATTTGGTACACTCACACTTTTTTTTTTCGCCTGCCCCACCTCTGTTTTATGCTTCAAACCACCTTGCAAGGTAGGCTAGGCTGAGAGAGAGACCAGCTCATGGTCACAAAGACTGAGTGAGGATTTGTCTCTGGGTTTCTCCAGGCTTAAGCTGGCTTTCTAAGCACGAGGCTATGCTGGCTTTTTGTAGTCAGGGAAAATAAGTTTTTCCTAAAGAAAGCTGGGCTTCTTGCAGTGCTCCCTCTTAAGCTGTGGAGTCCTGTGAGCAAAAATTCCACTTTGTGAGCTACTGGCGTTAAGGTTGTGTGCGAGCGATTTGGCTGCTGCATAAATTAGTTTGCTCTGAAGCCCTCCTTCCTGAGCGAAGGCAAAAATGTGTGAGTCAGAGGCTAGAAAGCTGGGAGCTAGCTCACACTAACTCAGCTTAGAGGGAACACTGGCTTCTTGAGCTGAAATCTGCTGTCTGCACCTTCTTCTGGACACTTCCGGGGTATGCATGAAGCTGCCTGAGCCGTTCCCACGATGAAACTGAGCCTGTTAATGATCTAATCATGAATCCCAGTGTTCAGCACAAGCAATGGAAATCTCATTTCTGGGTTGACATCTTTTTTGTGCTTTATTCAAGGGATGGGGGAAGCCTCTTTAGGTCTATGGTGGTTGTTTTTTAAAAAAAAAACAACACAAATGTATATTTGTTTGCTTCCTTCAGGGAAAAGGAAATATTTGAAGAGGAAATCTCAGAAAAGAAAAGGAAGCAGCGTCTGCAAGCGGCCGACCCGCTCTCCTGAAGAGACCTCGTAGATCCGGCTGC